GGCTGGAACCTGGGAAGCCAAAAGGTCACTTTTCATCTCATCTCTGTGTAGCAATATGACTCCTGCGTGCTTTGTTCATACTTGGCTATATTCCCACACAGCTCATTAGCTCCTCGTTAATAGATGTAAATGAAACTGGTGCTAGAGAGTTGCAAGTCAGGAGCTTGGTTTCATTACTCTGCACCATTGATCTAAGCAGGTTCACTGTGTTAACGGTGACAGTGATCACAAATGAAACTCTTTGATTTTTCCTTTTCTCAGGCTAGGTAATTGTGTGGAATTTCTTACTGCAGACAAACATCTGATATTTGTTTGCATACTGTAGGTGTAAACTGCTGGGGGGGAAAACACACATACACAAAACACCAAAACCTAGTAGTATTTTTAAAAAAGGATTCCACAGCCAAATGTTAACGCTAAAGAAATGATGTTGTTTGGGAAGCTATTTTCTTGTTTCCTCTCTGCAATGAGATCTCTCAGCCTGCTACTTAAGAGCTTGGTACTAATGACTAATTTATATCAAGGTGTTTAGGTATGAAGTTATTTCTTTAGACTGTATATTTTCCTAAATTAAAACAATGGCTGAGGAAAACAGAATTTTCCTTGAATTTATGCGACAGATTTATATAACTTTGAATCGTGCTTATCCATTTTCTCTTTCTTTTATCTGATGTAGTCTGTTTTTATTCTTTCATAAAGGGGAGAAATCTCATGAAAACAAAAAACAAACAAACAAATCCCACTTGTTGGCTTGTATTGATTTGTTTCTTGCATTTTAATTTGGAAGGGTTGATTTTTGTTTGGTAGAGAGGTGAGGTAGTTATATAAACCAAGAGCCTTATAATTAACAGGTAAAAAACAAGTTTGTTGGACTGTATATATACTCCCCATAATGAAGACATCTCTTGATGCTCTCTAATGGGGGAAAATTACCATTTGATGCATCCATTGCTATGGCAACTGCTAGGGCTTTTCTGTTGACAGAAAGGCAAATGGTAATATGAGCTGCCTTTGTAACTTCAGTTTGAAACCCAGGCTGTGTAAATGTGAAGAGGCCCATGTGCTTAGCCTGTGGAGTATGTATGTTCCTTCCTCTACCTCCCTCTCGCTTGACTGCAGACTTCCCGAGGCCCTTGCTGTTTGCCTTCCAAACCACTAAGAGGGAAAAACAACAACAACAACAGCAACAAAAAACAACATCCAGAAGCCAAAATCTAACCAAGCAACACGATGGAATTGTGGCGTAAAAGCCCCACAATTTCTTCTGACAGGCATACCGCTTCTGAGTTGACCATCCAACACTGGGTTCTCCCACCTCCTTTCTTGTTAGCTAGGTTGGCTGCCTTCTTGGCTGTAGGTAACAGTTTCAAACCAGCCATCCACCTCTCACCTGTGGTTTTGTGATATCATGTTTGGTAAGGTGGAGGGTCAGAGAAAAAGAGGACGACCCCCAACGAGATGGATTGGCCAAGTGGCAGCATCGATGGACTCAAGCGTGGCAACAGTAGTGAGGTTGGCCCAGGATCAGGCAATGTCTCGTTCTGCTGTGATGTGAGTTGGTACCGACTCGATGGCACTGACAACAACAGGGAAACTCAGGAAATTAGAATTATTTACTTATAACTATTTCTATTGTTATGGAGTCTTGGTGTGGCGCTGTGGGTTAACATGCCAGACTGCAAAGCCCTTTGAATTGCAAGGTCCGTGGTTCAAGCTCACCAGCTGCTCCTTGGAAACCCTATATAGGATCACTATGGGTCGGAATTGGCTCGATGGCCCTTAACAGCAACAGTAACATTCCTATTGTTGGACCTCAAGAGTCTGCATGTTATTGAAAGTAAATCAAATACTTTAAAACAACAAAATGTTGTTGTTAAGTGCTGTCAAGTTGGTTCCAACGCATAGTGACCCTGTATAGGATTTCTGAGGAATAGCTGGTAGGCTTGATCTGCCGACCTTAGAGTTCACCATCCAGTGCTGATCCTACAGTACCATACCAGAATTCCAATGTTGTTGTTGTTGTTAAGTGCCGTCGAGTCGATTCCGACTCTTAGCAACCCTGTATAGAGTTTCCAAGGAGCAGCTGGTGAGCTTGAACCACCGACCTTGCAGTTCAAACGACTTTGCAGTCTGGTGCATTAACCTACAGTGCCACACCAGGACTCCAACAGGTACCTCATAATTAAAAATGGAAATCAAGTCCTTGGGTGGTACACAGTTTTTGTGATCCACTACTAACCTATGGGTCGGAATTGACTTGACGGCACTTAACAACAACAACAACTAACCTAAATTGACTTTTCTGGTGTGGGACTGTAAGATATGCACTGGACCTCAGGTCAGTTTGAACAGCAAGGTCAGTGGTTTAAACCCACCAGCTGCTCCTTGAAAACCCTATACAGGTCGTTATGAGTTGGACCTGACTTAGCAGCACTTAACAACAACAACACTAACATAAAGATTGGTAGTTCGAACCCATCCCATCCAGCAGAACTCTATAGACGTAAGCCCCCATAGTCTGCTTTCATAAAGATTAGAAATAAGAAAACTCTGTGGAGCTGAGTTGTATCTTGAAACACATCAATCAGGCATCTTGAATTGGAGTTGACTCATTGGGAACTGATTTGATTATTTTTTTCTTTAATTCAACATGGAGTTATGTTAGTAGGCTGTCTTGGAAATTCCTTTGAAATTTCTGTTACTCTTGTGAAACCAGCCTTTGAAATCATCTGCTCCCAGAGATTGCTTTGGAGGGTGGTCATGTGTTTGCTGGTACCTGAGACATCAGTAAAGCTGCATCTTATACTTGATTATGAGATTCTGAAGCACTAACAAATATATGGAAACTCTATTTCCCCTCCTGTAAGCAACCTGGTGGCTCCGTATAAGAAGAGCTGGATTGTGAACCACAAGGTCCACGGTTGGATGCCACTAGTGGAAGAAACATGAGGCTTTCTGCTCCCGCAAAGATTTCAAAAGCCTCGGAAACCCTACATAGGATCTCTATGAGTCGGAACTGACTCAGTGGATATTTAACAACAATAAGCAGTTTACATAGAAAGTTTGCAAGTAATTTTGCCACTTGAAACCCTTTTGGAAATTTGAATTTGTAGCTGGTCAAGGTGAGAAATGAGTTTCACAAATTGATAGAAATACGCTACCTCAGCTGAGCTACAGTGAGAGACAGATTTGTGGATGGAATAGAAAGTTGAGACTTTTGTTAGTATGTTTCCTGAACTGTCATTTAAAAATCACTTTGTCAAAAAAAAAAAAAAAAAATCACTTTGTCCTTCCCTCCCTCTTCCCTTTTATGTTATCCCAATGTACCTTTGAGGTCTTTGAGCAGCAGCTAGAATTATCAAAGGAGATAAACTATTACTTGACATGGTTTTGACAGTTGAGTTGAGGTTCTTGTCTGTCTTGGAGTTTTCTGCTCTTCTCCTTTCTCCCTTGGTCCCTTGTTCCCCTGAGGCTCCCCTCACCTCCCCACCCCTCTCAGGGCATCCTCCCCATTCCGCCAGCTCCCTCTTTTCTTGTTTTGGCATACACCTCACTTGCAGTCTCCAGAACTATTCTTGGAGCCTATTAACAGATCGCTTCACATTTTACTGACTCATGTTACAGTTGTCGGGTTTTTCAAAAGGACTCGGAATCTCTATTTTAGAGATCCGCTGCATTTCCGCACCTTTTGTCTCTGCTAGACTTCTCAGTTGCCTCTCTTGATGATGCATCAGAGGAACCCCATACCGTACTATTTTGTCCCTGAGAAATAGGCCGGTGGAAATGTAGTCTAACTTACAGACTGGGAGAAGTCCCTAGGTGTGGTACAAATGATTGCTGCTCTCCATGCTAACCAGAAGGTTGGCCACTCGAGTCCACCCTGGGATGCATCGGAAGCAAGTCCTGGTGAATCAACCATTGACAACCCTGTGGAGTAGAGTTCTAACCTGACACACACGGGTCACCATGAGTTGCAGCCAACTCGATGGGAACTGATTACAACTGAGTAGGTGGCCTGGGAGTCACTTAGCAACATGACTGAAAAGAGGTGAGAATAAACCCTGTGTCTGCTATGTTGGTTAGCCGGTGGCCCTTAGGATGACTGAGGAAATTACCTTTCATTAATTTTGTTTCACTTAACATTGTGGGAAGTAGTTATTTACTATCCAGAATTCTTTGATAATTATATTTTTTAAACTTTTTTTTTTAAATACCAAAGTTCAAGCGTATACAAAAGGAGTTAGAAAGTTTTGACAACTTCCACTGATAACCCAACCTCAACTACTATAATTCATACCCAGTTTTCTCCTATGTATACCCCTACCTCCATCTTATTTATGCTTCTCCTCCTTGCAAATTATTTCAAAGCAAATCCCAGGCATAATATCATTTCATTCATGATGCTTACTTTTTGATTGCCCGACCTGCCATGATTTTGTTTCCCATAATACTGTGGTTTTTCTCTCTCTAATATTTGTTCTATTGACTATTTCTGCAAGAAAGGATACTTCCAGTTTATTAATGTCGTATACTCTATAAATGTGATATCTTTTTCTTAGGACCTTGGGAATAAACACCTAAAATTATATTTACATATTTTTATATTGCTGTGTGGAAACTGACTTGTAAAAATTTCAACTTGTCCAAATTTTATCGACCAATGGGAATTTTCTTTTGTTTTTGTTAGTTGCCCTTCAAAATTAGTGTTCTATCTCTTATCACTGTGTGAGAGTGTACTTCTTCAGATATGCAGTATTCAAGAATTGCTGCTTAAAAAAAAAAAAAAAATTGTTCTCTAAAAATATGTGGAAGAAGTTAGCTTCAGAGTTTCCAAATGCTTTTATCAATAATTTACATTTTCCCTGAGTGAAACTGGGCCAATTATAACTGATTACCCTTGAGGTGGGTTTGTTTTTTGTTTTTTGTTTTTTGTTTTAATATTAGTTGCTCAGTGATACATCAAAATCAGAACCTGATTTCATTATCCTGTTTGAATTAAGGGTGAGGCGCTCAGGCAAATTTTGGTCAACCGTTACTATGGAAACATCAGACCTTCGGGAAGAAGAGAGAGCCTGACCAGCTTTGGCAATGGTCCACTGTCACCCGGAGGACCCAGCAAACCTGGGGGAGGAGGTAGGTTGTGTGGTGGACTCATTACCTGCCTGTGTGAGTCAAGTGTGTCACATGAGTGTTGTCTGTGTCTGCAGAACAGGTTGAAACTTTTAAACAGACACATTCGCTTTGCATGTGTCATTTTTAAGACTTGGTTTTGTCTTTGGTCTGCTATCAAATTGATGTCTAAAAGTATTTCCCTACCAAATAACATTTCCCTGCAATTAGATATTGGCTAAATTGGCTAAATCTTTTACCCTGCTTTCTCATGCAGTAACCCTTATGATGATAATACAAATGGACTTGATTTTACTCTTATTTTCTTGTGGTGGTACAGTGTCTTAAGTGTTTAATGCTGCTAACTTCAAGGTCAGCTGTTCAAACCCATCAGCTACTCCACAGGAGAAAGATGAGGCACCTTAAAGATTTGTTGTTGTTGTGTGCCGTGGAGTCAGTCATAATGACCCTATATAGGATTTTCAAAGCTGTAATCTTTATGGGAGCAGAAAGCCTCATCTTTCTCTCGCAGAACAGCTGGTAGTTTCAAACTGCTGACCTTGCAGCTTGCAGCCTGATTCGTAACCACTACGCTGCCAGAGCTCCTTATAAAGATTTACAGCCTTGGAAACTCAGTGGAGCAGTTCTACCCTGTCCAATAGAGTTGTTCTGAATCGGAATCAACTTAAGTGCAGTGGGCCTGGGTTTTTCCTGTAATCATTAGGACTCTTGTCTTCCCATAAAATGGCGATGATATGGGCAGTGAAGATGGTAAAAAGCTACCATTTTATGAGCGTACTGGGTGCATTCTCAATTGCTCCACACTCTTTTTCTCTTATTTTCCTCCTAGTTACTTAGCATGTGGTAGATACTTTTATTATCCAAAGCAGCTCTGGTGTCACTGTAGGATAATATAGGAGCATTGGGCCGATAACCACAAGGTTGGCAGTTCAAACTCACCAGTTGCTGTATGGGGTGAAGATGAGATTGTCAGCTCCCATAAAAATTTATAGTCTTAGAGACCCTTTATAAGGTTGCTATGAGTCTGAATCGACTTGATGGCAGTAAGTTTTGCATTGTTATCCTAGGTACTTTGCGTGGTGCAAAAGGTTGGAGCATCTAGTCCATCCAGTGAACCTCAGAAGAAAGGCCTGGCTATCTCCTTCTGTAAAACCAGCCATGAAAAACTTTAGGAAGCACAGTTCTGCTCTGGCACACATGGGAGTCACCATGAGTTGGGATTGACATCATGGCCCTTTGGGTCTGTTGTTATCCCAGGTTAACAGAGAAAGCTCAAGCTTCGAAGTGACTGGCCTATGATTTGAACCTGGTGTATTTCACTCCAAAGCCCATGCTTTGTGCTTCTCCAAACTGGGATGGGAGCTAGACAGAATGTCCCTTGTGTAACAGTGTTTATAACAAAGAGTTAAAAACATTCCAAAACATTTTAAGCACAATTATAGTTAGAAATTTCAAAAATGTTGGACTCAAATGTGGGTTGGTTTTAAACACAGTGTTTTAAAACACAGTACCACTTTTAAAGTGGGTGAGGATCGGACTTAATTGACTCAGAATCTGAAGCACACAATCCCCTGTGTCTTATGTGATGGTTGGGTAGCTTCACAATGTTGGTGGGCTGTGTGGTTAGCACAAAAATACTCAGAATTTAATGAATTTGCATTAGCAACTTTTGGGACTTCTGGTGTGGCTCTGTAGGATCAGCACTGGGCTGCAAACTACAAGGTCCGCAGTTCAAACCCACCAGCTTCTCCTCACAAACGGGTGGCTATGAGTTGGAACCAACTCAGTGGCACTTAACAACAACAACAAAGGAGCTTCTAGGGAAGTATTTTGGTTGTATCGGCAGATAACAACTGTCGGTTTACCTGCTCGGTTTATGAGCTGTGTAGATTTGGTAAAGATGTAGTTTGGTGAAGATTCCGGTACTCCAGATATACAACCACCTCAGCTCTTCTTCCAAAACTCTCCAGAGATAGGCCCTGTGGGCCCAAGCGTTGCAGACCGTCCAAACCATAGGCTCTGAGGATCAGACTTTAGCCACCTAGCAGACATAGCAAACTGTCCCTCATCTGATTATTCAGTTATGCTTGTTAGTAATCACATACATGAGCCCTGGATATCCACAGATAAATGTAAAAACCTTCTCTAAAAGCCGAGACTGTAAATTCTAAAAAGGCAAAGTCCGCCCCCCACCCCCCAAAAAAAAGAGAAAAGCCAAAGAGGATAGAGAGAAACACTGTTGACTGGGATTGTAATCAATGTAATGAAACAAGTCATATGAATGGTTCAATGTGAAACTGATGATGTGCCTTGTAAACTTTCACTCAATCCACAATAAAAACCTTAAAAAAAAAACTCTCCAGAGATCCTCATGAAGACATTCCTCATCCAACAGCACTCATTGGATAGGTGAGGGCCTTGGGAGGTGTCAGGAGAGGTCCTGGGAACTGCATAAAAGATGGATTCTACTTCAGAAAGATGTTACCCACTTTCTACCCTGTGCTGAGGATATAAGGGCAGCGTCGAGGCCAACAGCCTTAGGGAGGTGACATTTAAACTGAGCTCTTGTAGATAAGAGCTGAGAGACACATTTTCCACTTTCTAAAATTGATTACCCCCCTTACCCATCTACGTGAAAGTTCCAGTTATTGTCAGCAGTAATGCAAACATGTCCTTAAATACATAAATACGTAGTTTCTGAACACAGTCAAAACCCATTCCGCTAAATGTCACAAACCCTCTCTGCTTAAGGATGTATGCATCTTAAACTCCGTGAGGACAGGCACTGCTCTGTTTCCCGCTTTTGTCTCCATATAGCAAGCTCTAAGTAAATGTTTGTTGATAATGAATGAATGAACAGCTAACTTTGGGCTAAGATGACTTTGTGAATTTGTTAGAAAGTGGTCTGAAATTAGAGATAATAGGCTGTGCTTTTATAGGACTGTCCTATGGAATGTTTAAGCTTAGTTTATCTCTTAAACTCAAATCAGTTCTTAATAATCCTGCCCTAAGCAAGGGGCTCTGGTAGCATATGGTTACGAATCCAGCTGCGAACTGCAAGGTCAGCAGTTCGAAACTACCAGCTGTTTCGCAGGAGAAAGATGAGGCTTTCTGCTCCCATAAGGATTTACAGCCTCGGAAACCCTGGACAGAGTCACTATGAGTTGGTTCTGACTCCATGGCACACAACAACAATAGCAAAGCCAATATAGTTTAATATAAAGTAGGGTCTTGACTTGATGGCTTTATGTCTGCACTGGAGATATTTCATTCTTTCTTCGCCCTCCTGTCTGTATTCAAATCCCATCTCTGGTACTTTGAAGCAACGTGTCCTTGGGCAATTGACTTCATCTCTCTGAGCTTGTTTACCTCTTTATAAGATGTGGTTAATATTGACTACATTCAGAATGGGGTGGTGAAGAGGGTTAAAAAAGGTAACACAGGTAAACCGTTCAATGCATACTAAGTACGTACTAAGTTTACAAGGAGTGTCAGCCACTCTGAGAGCGATTAATGAAGCAATGTTCCCTCTCCTAGGGGGAGGATCCGGGTCCGGCTCCATGAGTAGAGGTGAGATGAGCTTGGCTGAGGTCCAGTGCCACCTTGACAGGGAGGGCGCTTCCAATCTGGTTATCGACCTCATCATGAATGCATCCAGTGACCGAGTGTTCCATGAAAGCATCCTCCTGGCCATTGCCCTTCTGGAAGGAGGCAATACCACCATACAGGTAGGAAGGCGACATGTTACCTGCATGACATCCCTGCTCAGTGGGAGGAGAGTCTGTTTCCGGGAGCCAGATACCTGGGTGGGGGCACACTCTTATTAAGAGAGTGCTGCTCTCATGAGTACAAGATTGGTTCATTACCTAAGACTACTGTTACAAAGAAATGAATTCTGCTGCTATCTTGCTGTAACCGCCTAATTTGTACTTGGTTCTAAAACATGAGTTACATTTGAAAACGAATGGAATGATGGGGGATGTGCGCAGAAAACTGGCTGAGGCTCTACGGCATAGTCGGTACCCTATAAATGTTTGTTGAAAGAATGATCGAGTGAAATGTATTTACAGTTGTAATCCAGAGATCACAAAGAAGGTGTTTGGACTGTGTTGCTTTGAAGATGTAATTTTTTAAACCTGGTGCTGTAGGATAAACACTGGACCACTAAGTATAAGATTGGTGGTTCAAACTCAGAGATGCTCATTGGAAACCCTATGTAGGGTGGCTATGAGTCAGAGCCGATTTGACGGTACTTCACTACAACACAGACACTCAGCTCACTTTAAAGTTCTCTGCTTTTTAACAGTGAAGTTCAAGGAAACCTAACGAATGTGAAATTGTAAGGAATAAATCAGGCTAAGACAAACCAAGAAGAGATGATGTTTTGCTAGCCAAGTGTGGTATATGTTTAAAAATAATAACAAAAAATGGAATTCTTGATGGTGGTGGTAGTTATGTACTATGGAGTCGGTTCCGACTCATAGCGACCCTGTACAGGGTATAAATCTTTATAGGAGCAGAAAGCCTCATCTTTCTCCCACAGAACAGCTGGCAGTTTCGAAGTGCTGACCGTGAGATTAGCAGCCCGATTATTAACCACTACGCTACCAGTTGTTGTTGTTAAGTGTCGTTGAGTT